GACAGTGGGTGCCGCCATCCCTCCCGATCACAAGCACTCAAGGAATCAGCCACCACTATGCTTAGGACAGTCCGTCACACTGACAGCTCCCCACTCCCCTTGCCAATCCCCTCCATCCCCTGTCTCCCTGCCCTGGCCACTCTGCCCCTCTTCAGAAAGAAACCAAGCTGCCTTGGGGAATGGTGCCAGCTGGTGGCTGGTACATAGTACTGTCCACTCACCACCATCTTCCCATCTCAGAAAAACCTAAGCATCCTCCCCTTCCTTCTTCTTCCTTCTTCTCCTCCTCCTCCCCCATTTCTTCTAATAATGACACAAAAAGCTTCAATTGAATGTTATGAGTCCAGGGATAGAATTCAGATTCCCACTTCCCTCCAGGGAGACTTGAGGCAAATCACAGGAGCTGTCTCTGCCTCACTGCCTTCTCTGTAAACATGGATAGGAATACCTGCCTACCCAGCAGGGCTTTTAAAAAGCAACCGACAGGAGCCTCCACTGTGAACAGCACAGTACTCAGCAAACAGAAGGCACCGAGGCATCTGCTCCCCCTCCTCTGCTAATTCCCCATCGTGTGGCTGAAGGCTCTGAACAATGCTCAGCTCTAGAGAATGTGCAGGATGACTATCTTGCCCCAAACAAGTCAGGTCAGCAACAGATGACCCATGAACTTTCCTCAGAGGTCAAACATCCCAGCTCTAGACACAACCACCTGCCTGATGGATTCATGTTCAGTTGGAGCATCATGTGCCTGAGGAGCTGGCAGTCACAAACTGGGACTCACAGCTCCCAGCCTCCCACTTACGACAGGAGTAACTTCACGTTCCCATCCACAGGGACTTACAGGTTATGTGGCTCCCCGCCCCTCCTTGGCTCTGTGGAAACCTAACTGGAAGTTTACCAGGAAGAAAACTGTCACCTCCCAAAATGCCATATCACTGTAATAAAGATCTCACAGGGGCTAATGAAATTATCTCCTGTCTTTTATTCCTCTGTAACAACCACAAAATTAGATAAAATGACCCCCTGCCCCTTTCATTTAAGGCCTGCTTTATTGCCTTCCACCCCAATTCTCTCTCCTCTAAACAGATATGAGACCCTGAGGACCCACAGGCCAATGGGATTAGTAACCAGGGGCTTCTTCCTCCTGGCCTGCTCTCCAGCGGGCGCTTCTCCTTCCCCGGGGTGGGGTCACAATCAGTTCAATCTTCATGCTTCAGAGACATCCCCTTTGAACAAGATCAAATGTTTCCCCACCCTGGCCTGGTGCTCTGCTCAAAGGAGCAGCAGCCCCTTCTCAGAGCATTAGCGTCAACTCAGCCAGAAATGCCGAAGCAAAGGAGGAGGTCAGCGTGGTTAATTGTCCACCAGGCGAAAACACAGGCCCACTCAAGCCAGCACCTTGGGAGGGCTGATCGCCCCCATAAAATGTTACATGCACTTTGAACCCACAAATAAGGAGAATGAGAACTATTTTCCGCAGCCTGCTGGGCTACAATGGGAGCTTCAGCTATTTGTTTTCTTTTCCAGATTGCAGCCATAAAGGGAAGAGGGCTTCTCACTGGATGCAGAGATAGAAGAGAGGTGGGCACCACCACCAAGTGGGGGAAACGTCGGCATGAGTGAGGCTAACGGAAACAGACCAAGGCTTCACCAGATCTGAAGAAGGAACCTGAGAAAACGGAATTGCAGAAATTTTTCATCTTAAGAATGATCTACAGGGAAAAGAAATCATAAAATGAAGGTAAATTATCATTAAAAGAGATGAAAGGAGAAAATTTTTTTGCTATTTTTGTCTATTGGGAAAAGTTGCTTTTATTAATTAGTTTTCTAAAGAGTTTCCTTTAAACTCAGGACCATAACCCTAAAAGGACCCCAAGGAATGGAGAAGTCATTTCCTAACTAAAAGAGGCCATGAAAGTGATTAAAACAACACCTCTAGTCCTGTAAAGTAAAAAGTCCAAGGAATTCTACTGCAAATCAGCTTTTCCTAGAAAAAAAGAGCCTGTAAATTTTTCAAATCAACAACAAAACCCCTACAATGGATAAGACAAACCAGCCTACAAATTACAGCTGACAAGTTACCTGATCCAAGGAAAAAGTGGTTCCTAAATCATGCATCAATTGAGATCTGGAAATGGAACACAGCAGAGTTTTCCCAGAGATGTCAATAAAGGAGCCAATTTTGCACTGAAACTTAAAAGGCTATTTTGGAGATTTTGCTTCCTCTTTAAGGAACTATAGCTGATCATTAAGGTTTCACCCAGAAACAATAACAACAAAAACCTGATCTTGATTGGAGCCTGCTTCTTTATTTAAGCATTGGTACCTGTTTCCAGCATTTCATCCATAAAAGAAACTGTCAATCAAAACTCAGGATGATAATAACACTGGCGTCCAAGACCAGTGGACCAGTTGCTGAGTCCACTATTTGTCACTATTCCTATTGTTCCCAAAGCCTACTTGCAACATAAGGGGACCACACAAGACAGTGTCTTTGGATCAAGGTCAACATACCAAAACAACTTTATTAAAAACACTCTGATTTACAAATTTGTCTGATGAGGCACTCACAGTCCCATCTTTAGCAAGTGTAAACATTTCACTGAGTGAAAGAATAACACCATAGTACATGTCCAAAAGACATATTCCAAGTTCAGAAGCTCTAGGAACTGAGGAACTATACTCCTTCTTGGTGTTCTAAGCAGGATGATGTCGAGTAGCCAAAATTAAGCTAGAGACCTCTATGAAGTATGCCTGAATACAGACCTGTGGGAAGGAGCCCAGCCCAATAACCTAACCTCTTGTTTTACTTCATTGTGATTTTTTTCAAATCTGGAAGAACTATATTATAAAACATAAGGTATGGAGAGCCAGACATCTCCTAGAGGCTCATTATAAATTGGTAAGCACTCCTCGTGTGCTGGGCTAGGTGAAGCACAGATACAAGGGCCCTGCACACAGCCACCTCAGCCATAGTGCAACACAAATATTCAGGAATACCTCAAATTCCAAAGATGACTAAAGCCCACTCATATATTTTAACATCTGAACCTTTTAATTTCATTTTTGTTAGCTTACTTTCCAAGTATGATAGACAAACTGATTCCATGGAGACTGGAAATTCCTGGGAAAAGTTCAAATCTTCTTTCTACTTAAACCCTAGGAAACTTTAAGACCATGAAGGGAGTCAACTGGGAGTCAAATTTTTGTTACTGGCTTGTTGTTCATAAATTCTCTTCCAGGTGGCTATGCAGCTACGATACTCAGCACCAGGTAGAGGACCATGGATTTGTGATTGCTTTGACATGCGTTTGTTGGCCAGGTACCTCTAGTAGGTTGTGGAAAGCACACACAGAAATGGGAAGACAACTTCTTTCTCTTTGTTTTAGGGCTGAACAGGCCCAAAACAGCAACTGGAAAGACTGAACAATGAGTCAGGCTGCTATCCAAGCAGAATGAAAAGATAAGAGACAGGAGCAAAATCTCAAGGCCACATTCTCCTTTGCAAAAGTACAAGCCCCGGTTTCAGTGAATTCGACCATCCACCAACTTCTGAAATGATCCAGGTCCCATTCAGGTGGATCACCACCCTGGGGGTTTCTACTCCACAGGATAAAGTTCTACAACGTCAAGCCAATTAGTATCCCCCTCCTACTAAGTATGGAGAAAATAAAATGTAGCTATCTAAAGCTTTTCATTAAATTATTTAAATCTAGACTATGTTTCAAGCAAGTGCGCAACCCACCAAGAAACATTTTTATTTCCTTTAGGTTTCCAAATTGGGGAAGTCAGTTATTTCCTCCCTACCTGCCTATGCATTTAGATACATGTTCAATCCTATTGCATGCCAACGGCTGGGATTCTGGGACTTCCAGGGTCTGGTTAACAATGTTGTCTCTCTGACTGCAGCCAAGAGGATGGGTTGCTGAAGGCCATGGATTGTCATTTATCCATCACTGTTCTATGACCTAACATCACTTACACTATTCAGGAGAAACATAATGAAAAAAAAAAAGCCTTACTTTTTATACTTTTCAATGGGGATAAGAATCTAAATTCCTATTGAGTTAACTATATTATGGTAATTTTTAATTATGTGTGGTAATGTAAGCAAACAGGTAATTAATCCATAAGGCATTCTACAAATCACTTAATTGGTTTAGAATCACATTACGATATTCCCTGTGTCAGGGGGCTATGCCTTAGTTCAGTTTACTAGGGCATTTTTTTTCCCCTCAGATAAACATTCATTTATTGATTGAAAATGTGTTCCAAGTCAGGAACCATGCTAGGTGGGAGATGGGAGAACTCACAGACTAAAGGAAAAAGATGTGCACAAACAAGTTAGCAAAGCTCTCCATGACAAGAGCATGGGGTTGTGTGGGGATAGAGAAACAGCCATTTGTTCAGTAGATAGATGGAAAAAGGCTAAACTCCAAAGTGCCTCTCATTCAGATGATCTAATAAATAATAGGTGAACGTTTGGGTGGTTGTTAAATGAGGAACAGAATTTTTTTGCGGGGGGTGGGGGGTGGGTCTGGGTATTGAACCCAGAAGCACTTAACCACTGAGCCACAACCCCAGCCCTTTATATTTTATTTAGAGACAGTATCTCACTGAGTTGCTGAGGGCCTCACTAAGTTGCTGAGGCTGGCCTTGACTTCGTGATCCTCCTGCCTCAGCCTCCCAAGCTGCTAGGATTACAGGTGTGTGCCACCATGACCAGCTTGAGGAACAGGAATTTTAAAGCATAGCTCCAAGTGAAGGGTAGAAGGAAAGAATGTTGATTGATGAAGTTCACCTGCATCCATTAAACATCTCCAGTAACCCACAACAGAGGCAGAGGACCATTCTCCTCCTTCCATAGAGGAAATGATATCCTACATTCAAGGATTTTCTTTCTCATGAATGACAGCTTTGGGTGGTCATCAGAGTGCATTTTCATACCATTCTGGGACAAGTCACCTAGGCATAAGCGAACCCTGGAAACAACCCCTTACCTGTTTGAGGTGCTTCTAATGAAATGCAGAAGGTACAGGTCAGCTGTGAACTCAACAGTCAGTTTACAAGTTTACCTGGAAAACAACAGGAAAAAGCCACATCTGTTAATTTGGAGAAGCCTATCATTTAATGGGCCCCATAGAGAATTGCAGGCCACAGTTAGGGATCTTTAGCCTCAGAGCAAAAGACTTGGCCAGTGACACGTGGCCAAGGGGTTAGAGCAAATCCTGAGTTTGACTCAGTGACAGGACAATCATAAGCCAGGTACATAATCTACCATGCCTCAGTTTCGTCTGCTGTAGTATCTATTTCACAGAAGAATTAAGAAAGTCTTCTATGTGCCAGGAACTTTCTATATGCCTGGCGGCACACAAATGAACACATGTTGGGTTCCCTGCCCTCAGGAAGCTTATAATTCACAAAGAAAAGTAAACAGGTAGCAATCCTAATCTTGATACAGATGATAGGAATCAAAGCAAGGGAAATACAAGGTGAAATGTGAACCTCTGCAGAGGTACCAGCTAATTCCAGGGGAGATAAAAGAAACTCTCTAGAGCAAGTGAGGGCTAAGATGAGCCCTGACAAGCTGGAGCTGACCATACTAGAGAATAACAGCAAAATGAGATGCCCCGAAGCAAGAGCAGAGTGAATCACAAAAGAAATGGTTGGTGACCATTGGAGAGTTTCAGATGACAAAAATCCCTACAGTTATTTCAGGAGAATTGGATATTATCTTGAGGCAAGTGAGAGAGGTATAGGAGAAAGGCATGGTTCAGAGGCTTTCAGCAACACCAGAAAGCAGAATGGGATGGAAGGAGGCAACGACCACCCTTTTTAGCTACCCAAAGTGCCACATCCCTGGTTGCTTGTGATAGAACCAAAAGGAAGACCCTCGTGATCAGAGGTAGAGCCAGGACTCCCTCCATCATCTCCAGAAAACCAATGTTTCCAAATTGCAGGTTCCTCTGTGAGAGGTGATTGCCACCAGCACACATCACCCATAGCCCCCCATCTCAGGAATAGAGTCTGCCTGACTTAACACACCCTCAGGGGTCAATGAGTGCCTTGGGTCACAAAGGTTCTCAAACGTGGTCCCCAGATCAGCAGCATCAGCACCACCTAGGAATCCGTTAGAAACACAAATTCCCCACCATACCAGAACTCCGAGCCTCTGAGATGGAGAGCCCAGCAATCTGTGTTTTACCAACTCTTCCAGGTGATTCTGATGCTTGCTAAAGGACAGCTCTGAGGGACAGAGGATGGAACTGGCCCAGCTTATAACCCAACACCAACTCTATTCTCAAGTCCTCACATTCTCTGGGGCCTTTGAAGCCCATTTCTGTTTAAAAGAAAATACACAAAGCTGGTTTTGTGGAGGCTTGGATCAGTTCCTAGCACTGAAGACCAACTGGTTAGAGCACAAGGAAATGGCACTGCACAGGGATTCTATTTCCACAAGCAATGTAGCCCTCACTGGTTTTGAGAAATTTCAAATAAAGTGGACACATGCCTCTCCTTCTTGATGTTTTTCCTCCCACCTAGATACAGAATCTGACCACTCCAGGAACGAAACACTGAGGTCATCCCAGAAGGCTCCTGTGGTTTTATTAGAGGGTCAAGTTTCTTCCTGGGGTGTGGAACAAAACCGCGTGGTTGCAAAGACACCAATGCCACCCAGGAGTATAAAGTACTTCAGACTGAGATCAGCCCCATGTAGCTACATCTGTCTTTGAATTGTATCATTTCCCTCCCCTGAAAAAGCATATTTCTGTGAAATGTAGGTAAAAATCTCACATCCTCGTCGTTTCACAGCGCTTGCTTTCCTTTACTAGAGGGGGAAAAAAATGGTTCAAAGAACAGTCTTCAGATCAGTACAATCATTAAGTGAGTGAATGAATACACACTCAGCTTCCACAGTGTGCCCCTCCTGCCAAGGCCACATGGCTTGCTGAACTGCAAGATTTGACAACAGGCCACAGAACCCCAGAGGTACAGGGACAGTGAGGACTCCAATGCACATCAAGCAACACTGCTGAAATTCAACTTCCTCCCTGCAGATGACACCCCACATCCGCACACTGCAGCTTTAGGGCTTCCCCACCTGCCCCTGTGCTTGTGGTGCCCAGGCTTCCTGCTATACCGCGCCCATCCCATCACACCAACCATTTCTCATTTTGTGTGTTTCATAAGCTAACTTTGCCTCTAGGGTGCAGCTGAGATGGATCCTGCATCTATAGAAGTGGAGGTTAATGCTGATATAATGATGTGGAAAGCTGATACTTAATCTCCCAATTCACTTAGATCAGAACAGAGCTGGTCCGGGGAGGATGGGGCCCATCTGTACCCACTTTTAGTTATCCATTAGTTCAGAAGGAGATGTTCATTAGCTCTCAGGTCTGAGCCAAAGCAGGGAAACAGGTGAGAAAAGTCCGTGTCAGATATTCTTAAAACATTTCTCTGCAGAAGCTCAATGCTCAAAGCCCAATATCCCTGAGAATGCTTAAAGCACTTAGTAATCAGTGTCTATAAAACTTTCCTAAAAATAAAGGCTTCAGGGAACTGACTCCCTACCCTGTTGACAAAGGGCTCTCTCATTTGGTTCTATCAAGGATAAGAGCCTGTCTGTAATGACAGAACAGGTCAAGATAAGAAGGGAAGTTGTCCAGTGGGAAAGAGACAGCCCTTCACAACCAAGTATTCCAGAGATGAGTGTGCCCCAGCCAGGGCCAATATCACAGGCTCAGATGAACAGGTTTCTACAGTGATATTTCTCCAAACTGGTATTTCTAGAACCTGCCTGAGCACAACAATCACCTAGAAGCTTTGTTTAAAAAAAATTGAGATTCCCGGGCTGGGGTTGTGGCTCAGCAGTAGAGTGCACGCCTCACACGTGCGAGACGCTGGGTTCAATCCTCAGCACCACATAAAAATAAATAAGTGCCCAACTACAACTAAAAAATAAATATCAAAAAAGAGATTCCCAGGACCCACCTCAGAACTCGAGGTCAGAACCCCAGGGAAGCAGATTGGGAGTCCACATGTCTAGCAGCACCCAGCAATTGTCAGGCCAGTTTCAGAATAATGCTCCAGAGGAAACAATAGGCAACTTTTAAAAACTTTGTAATCACGTAACTTCAAAGTGATACAGTGTGGGAAAATGCAGATTTAATTGAAGGAAGTTGGAGCCTTCTTTATCTAGTTAAACTTATGGAATATAACATGTAATGAGGAAATCAATTTAACTAAAACTTAACCAAAAAATACCCTCCCCCATAACTTCATAACTTAACCATGTTTCAACAGGAAGACCCCCAAAATCATCCTGCCCTAAGGATTATGGGAATCTCTGCATAGCTGCTCCTGGAAGCCCCTTAGAAGTCCAAAAGGAAGTGCCAGGACTGAGGTCTTATGTCGCGTGCCAGCAGAGGCCAGCCCTAAGTAGCTGGATACAGCCCCTCCTGACAGGCAAAGTTTGGCCTTTACAGGTCTCACCCTCCACCTGGCTATTCTGCAGCCTCATTCCTACCCCAGCCTCATGTGACAGACAATTGCTGGGTGCTGAGTACTGTGTATTACCAAGCTGCTTCCCTGGGGTTCTGACTTTTGAGTTCCGAGGTGGGTCCCAGGAATCTCTATTTCTTAAACAAAGCTTCCGGGTGATTGTTATGCTCAGGCAGATTCTAAAAATACCAGTCTCCTCCACAAGTTGAGCAGCATCACCAGGAGAGTTCATTAGAAATGCAAGACTCCCAGGCCCCACCAAATCTGCTAAATCAGAGACTGCATTTTAACAAGATTCTGGGTGATGCCAATGCACACTCAAAGTTAGAGAAGCACTACTTGAAGGGATATGGAAGACCAGTGTGAGACTTTTATCCCTACGCACAGAACATGAGCCTACCCTCCTCACCCCACACTCAAGAGGCTTTCTTCCCTCACACTCTTTTACTCACGCCTGTCAGTCCTGGTTTGTCTTGGGTCAAATCAACACCAGCAGGACCCAATAACTAGCTGACAGTCCAAAGGCCAATTGTTAGGGAGTTGAAAAGATGCAGGAAGTACCAATTGTCTCTCCCATTCTCACTGGGCTCTTATATCTGCCTCCCTTAGAAGGCAGGAATATGGATCCCGTGACCATAAATCAGTAGAGACAATCCAAAGTCAAACAATGTCATGGAATGCTGGCTCTTTTGGTTCCAACACAATGTTAATGAGGTCGGGGTCACGGGCATGATTAGCTTCCTCTGTATCTTGGCACAGACTCCAGCCCTCTGCCCTCCAGTTGCCTGCAAAGGCTGACGCAGCCTCGGTTACTAACAGCAGTTGGTGGGAATGACAAGGCGAGGCTGAGCAGAGCAGTACCAGTAAACCCAAAGGACCTGAAAGTCCAATGAGCAGAATACACGGAGGAACAGCATACGGCCCAGAAGGAAGGCTGACAGGACAGAGGACCAGGTCAGAATTCAAAATTATCTGGACAGGCTAGACACGCCAGAACTGAGAAAGCTACAATTTTATGAGAAGAAATGGGAAGTTCTGTGGTCAAGATTTTAAAGATCAAATATAAAGAGAGAGAAAATCTAACCAGATGGCAGTTCTTAATTAAAAAAAAAAAATGTTTTAAAAGATTTTTAAAACGGCTGGGGATGTGGCTCAAGCGGTAGCGCGCTAGCCTGGCATGTGTGCGGCCTGGGTTCGATCCTCAGCACCACATCCAAAGATGCTGTCTCTGCCGAAAACTAAAAAAATAAATAAATAAATATTTTTAAAAAAAAGATTTTAAAACATGACAATTTTGTTGATCAAGGTGGCTGTGAAGAAAGTTTGCATACTCTTAGAGCCCATAGGTCTACTTTTCAGGTCAGGAGAAGCAGCAGCCCCACCCCCTCTCCAGTATAGTTGATCAGACCATCCTAGATAACCCTCCTGGCCACCTGGCCACATAGGTGCATATACAGCCTGTCACCCCTTTCCACCACTAGGGTTCTCATTAACCACTGTGGCTGGCCTCTTCACCCACACTGTCCCCAGCTACAACTCTTTTTGGCTTTACAACAGTTTAACTATTCTATGTATCAGTTTCACTTCTTTTGATGCTAACCCCATTTTTGACTAATAGAGGAAAGAACTATTGACCTAAACACAAG